ACAGAAAGAGCGCAACAGCGATTGAAGGTGTAACAATCCTTCTGTGGCTGCTCCTACCACTAATGCTTCTACCTGCTTTCAGGAGGTGCTTTCACAAGGTGAACGATTACGAGTGGAAGTAGACGGCGGTGGTTGTTCTGGGTTTGAGTACAAAATTAAACTTGACAAAAAATTGCAAAACGATGACAGGCTGTGGAAACGGGATAATGTGGAAATTGTTGTTGATGAAGTGAGTTGAAATATCCCATTGATCTTTTCATATTTGGCTTTTTGAACTACTATCTTGTCTAGAGGACATGGTTATGATAAGCAGTTAATACTAGCCAGTGGGATTTGCGCTAAACCTTGCATAGCTTCCAGTCTTATTCCTCCATTGTTGGACAATTACGCAAGGATGCAAACTTTGATTTGCGCAAAGAAACAGCAAGAAAATCAAAAATAAGATTCATTCTTCTTGTCCAAAAGTAATGTTTCACTTATATACTCGCATTGTCAGAAGCTTGTTGATTAGGTCGTTTGCAAACTTTACAGAACTGTGGAATTATCATGTGTTTTGGCAAAGTTCATACGCAAACAGGGAAGAATACAGAATATTTTGGAAGAAGAAAGGTGCCTAGCTAAGACTTACCCAGTTGGGTGGGACAATGGGGTAACCAGCCGACGGAGGGGGTTGTGAGTAACGGGGCCTTCATCTTCAACTTGGATAACGATCGTCCAATACTATCGCTTGATAGTGTCAGCCGATCCTGAACACTCAAACAATATTCGCGCAAATTGGCGCCGACCGAAAGGCCATTTCTGTAGGACAATATTATTTGTAGCAGTACCATGCAGTTCTGAATGTGAAATTGTCATGTTCAGAAGTCGCTAGCGCTGCGGGGCGAATGCAGTGAGATGTATGGCCACAGAAATGAGAGTTTAGCAAATTTTTGAAACGAATTGTACATCCATGTTTTTTTAATGCTCTGAGTTTACAGTAACTTTCAAATCAACAGAAATAAAATTTTGAAGGAAACAATCTGAAACATGTGAAAATGGATGATAAACTAAATTTACTGGCTTGAGATATAAACGTGATAGGTTCACAAGTGTCATAAAGTACGGCGCTTTGTGAAACATTCTGACGAGGTTCAAGCGCATATTCTGAGAGTCTCATTCTTG